AAGCCAGCTATGGTGGCACGCACCTGTAGTTCCAGCTACTCAGGAGGCTGAGGCAGGAACCCGGGAGGTGGGGGTTGGAATGGGCAGAGATCGCACCATTGCACTCCAGCCTGGGTGACAGAGGGAGACTCCAGTTAAAAAAAAAAAGAAAGAAAGAAACGTGGAGGAAATCTCAGTCCAGGCAGATTCATCTAAAGAGGACAAAATGCACTTTGGGAGGCCGAGGTGGGTGGATCACGGGGTCAAGAGATCGAGACCATGCCCCACCACACCAAGCTAATTTTTGTATTTTTAGTAGAGATTTTTGTATTTCACCATGTTGGCCAGGATGGTCTCGATTTCCTCACCTCATGATCCACCTACCTTGACCTCCTGGTCAACGTGAAACCTCGTCTCTACTAAAAATACAAAAAATTAGCTGGGCATGGTGGCACGTGCCTGTAATCCCAGCTACTCAGGAGGCTGAGGCAGGAGAATTGCCTGAACCCAGGAGGCGGAGGTTGTGGTGAGCCGGGATTGCGCCATTGCACTCCAGCCTGGGTAACAAGAGCGAAACTCCGTCTCAAAAAAAAAAAAAAGAGGAAAAATGCAAAAAGAAGTGGTACAGAGAAACAGGATGAAACAGCATACATTTTGAACGTTTATGTTTACCGACTGCTCCATTTCAGAGGAAGAGGAAGCAAAGGAGGGACACTGTGTTGGCATTCCACATACGATTTCTCATTTAATCCTATTTAATCTGGCCAACTCTATTTTCTAGATCACATCCTGGGCCCTCAGCAAACATTTGGAAGCAATCTTGTTATTCGTCATAAACTACAGCCCCAGACCAGCACCATCACAGAAGTGGCAAGTGGCTTCTGACAGCCTCGGGGCCTCCCCTAGCCCACTCAGTTAACGACACATGGGCCACTAACCCTGCAGTCATTACTACAGGCGAAATGCTCTGTGGGTCTCACGAAACGTAGGCTAAAGGTAAGAGCCACTCATTGGTGACCACATCGAGGCACTGGGAGAAGATGCCCTCACACACCCCTGGTGCCCTGGGTCAACTCCTGTGATGTGGGGGCTCCGGACCCACAGGCAGCACTGAAATTATTCAGCACGGGAGGTGACACATTCCCAAAGCTCTTTGCAAACTTCAGCTGCAGATGTGTTCTCTGCTCCCCAAGGAGAATTACTCACTTTAATCTGACTCATTATAATTAGAGTAGGTTGATTTTAGGGAGCAATATTTACTTTTTAAAATAAAATGGCAACGAGGGGTGTGTTGCTTGTCATCACTTCATAGGTTAGAGCTTACAAGGGCTGCTCTTGAGTTGTGAATTTTCTATGCAGATGGAGCAGGTGTGGTGAGTACCTGTCATGAGGTGGTGGCTCTGGGGACAGGCTGTCCCCATGGGGACAACCAAAAGACCATATGATCCCCTAAAACAGGGGTCAACAAACTGTAACCTACAGGCCAAACCACCTGTGCTGGGAAGGACAGATTGACTGGGACACGGCCATGCCCATCTTGTCTGTGCTGCGGTAGCAGGGATGAGGCATTGTGCTAGAAACCATCTGTCTGCCAAGACTGAAACATGTGCTAGCTGGCCTTCTGCAGAAGAAGGTGGCCCCTGCTCCAGCACATAGGACACTCACTAAACAATGAGCGATACTGCCTCTTACGCTCAGCATACGCATGTATCATAAAACTCTGAAAGGTCAAACGGATTTAAAAACTCAAAAGTCCCACAAGCATATTAGCACCTTTGGCACTGGACTCAAGGATTAATCGTTATTACGTACCTGAACATTAATTTCCTTGAAGCAGAAAGGAAGTCAAATTCCCATCACCTCTAGTACTGTCCTAGAACATATTCAGAGATGCTGGCTATTTGCCATCATCTAATTCTTCTTGCTGAAGTGGTTTGAAACCACAAAAATACATTAACTAATGAATTAATCAGTATGTTTGTGCTTTCATCTTTTACCTCAACAAACACGTACTGGGCACCAGGCATTGTGCTGGGGTGTTAGAATACAAAGATGAAACAGGCTCACTGTGGGGACTCAGGCTACCTGTGTTAGTCTGTTCTCATGCTGCTATGAAGAAATATTCGAGGCTCAGCAATTTTTACAAGAAAGAGGTTTACTTGACTCACGGTTCTGCATTGTTGGGGAGGCCTCAGGAGACTTACAGTCATGGCAGACAGCATCTCTTCACGGGGCAGCAGGAGACAGAATGAGTGTCGAGTGAAGGGGAAACCCCTTATGAAACCATCAGATCTTGTAAGAACTTACGATCACTAGAACAGTATGGGGGAAACTGCCCCCATGATTCAATTATCTCCACCTGGTCCCACCCTTGACACGTGGGGATTATTATAATTCAAGGTGAGATTTGGGTGGGGACCCAGAGCCTCACAAAATCACCACCTAACCAAGGAGGGAGACATGTCTACAGGTAACAATAGATTGTGTGTGCTGGGAGATTGCACAGTGAGACCTGGAGCCCCAGGATGGCTATGTTGTGTGTGTGTGCATGTGTGTGTGCTTACACACGTGCACACACATGCATGTGTTTGTGTGTGCATGTGTGTGTGTCTGTGTGTGTGTGTTGGGGGAAGTGTCAGGAAACCTTCTTTGAGAAGTTGTCATTCACTTTGTTTTGTTGCTACTTAGTTTTTAAGAGGTTAAACATGATAACTTCTATAATCACTTATCCTCTCCTCATCTCCAAGGGAGCACGACATGAGTGAAAGTCAGTTGTACAAGAGGACAATTCTAGACTTAATTCTAAAGTATGTGCGTACACACACGTGCATGCACAGCAACTCCTTTTACGGTTGTGGGTTAAATTTCCTTTATGTTGCAAGCTGTTCTCAGAGGCAGGATGACAAATACTAACCCTACTATTACAGACCCAGCTTATTTGCATGTGCAGACAGTAAGGCAGCAGTCCACACACTGAGTTACAACCACTGGGTGATAAGGAACGAGGCAGCAGGTGTGGTGGAAAGAGACCTTGGTGAGTGGTCACGTTATGATGTTCTTTTCCTGATGACTATAAAAAGACTTGACAAGGATCACTCAGTGAGGTTACACATTCCCACCCTTTCTCCACAGTGGAGTGATGAGGCCAGGTGCAGAGCTGTGGGTACCGGGCTGTACTGCATCTGCAGAAGGCAGGGAGAGCTCTCCATGGAGGTGTAATGGCCACTTTCACAGATGATTTGATAGATATTGGAAACCTCTTCAATCACAAACTTTCAGAGGGTTTTAAGGTCAATTGTTAGAGATTCAGTTGCAGTGTCAGTCCTGAAAACCTATTAGGTCTTCTACAATCTCCCACCAAATTGCATTTTTCCTTGTATAAGAGTTAATGCCTTGGAGAAGAGATACATTTTATCTCTTTGTTGTGACTGAACTGATGGATCAGTGTCTCTCGGTCAAAGTCAGCTCTCAACTTCCTCCCTTCCTCCCATCACCCTGTGATTCTGATCAGCTACACATGCTTTTCAGAATCTCTGTAATCAGTTTTCGCATTAGAGACATGCTAATAACAGCTAAAATATTAATCATTTCGCAGCCTCTACCCTCTTGTTTCTTCAAACCAATTCAAGGCAGTGGAATTAATACATAAAGAAAATACGATCGTCCTGTGGGGAGAAATGAGACCTTTTTCATTTGTAAGACAGATGACAGCCTATCCAATATCATTCTATGTGGGCTTTTAGATACAATCATTTTTTGTGCTATTTGAGGAGAAGAGAGCTTTAAAAATGCAGGCTTGGTAATCAGCTTAAATTTAGAGGCAGAAGAAAACGGTAACTTGAAAATGGCAACCATGTCAACTGACCTTCAAACCCAAGGACTTTCTGCCTGTGGCAACACAATCTCTTAAAAAATGCTACATAGAACTGACAAAGAGCATCAGGTTTTGGTCAAATGAAAGGCTAGAGTTGGAACAAACCTGAGGGATTGTATTCTCCAAATCCTCCAGTACACGGCTGGGCTGCTACCTGCAGCCTGACAGCTGGAGGTGCCGTCCAAAGCCAGCTCCACAGTGAGAACCAGGATGGGAGCCCTCATCTTAGAAGCAGTGTTCAGGGCCTTTTTCCCCCTGCACCATCCTTCCCATTCACAGAAATCCTGCGGTTTTGCCAATTTGAGAAGGAATTCGTGAAGATAGCTGATGGAAACAGAGGGCTACCAGGGCCACTGGGGATTTTGCATGTTGACAAGACTGGCCTGGCTCCATAAGGGCCAACAAATCTACTTGCTTTAAAAACCCTCTACAGAGACCAGGTATGGTGGCTCATACCTGAAATCCCAGCACTTTAGGAGGCTGAGGGGGTGGATCACCTGAGGTCAGGAGTTCGAAACCAGCCTGGCCAACATGGTGAAACCCCATCACTACTAAAAACACAAAAAATTAGCTGGGTGTGGTGGTGTGCTCATAATCCCAGCTACTCAAGAAGCTGAGGCAGAAGAATCCCTTGAGCACGGGAGGTGGAGGTTGCAGTGAGCTGAGATCATGCCATTGCACTCAAGCCTGGGCAACAAGAGTGAAACTCCATCTCAAAACAGAAAGAAAGATCAACAAACAAATGAATGAACAAAAACCTCCACAGAAAGAAGTCTGAGTTTCCAGAGCATCTTTCAATTATACCACCATTCTGATCATTCTCATCTGCAGACCTTTTAATGAAGTTGATCTCCTAGAGCTTCATCTAGAGTCCATAGACACAGCTACAGTTAGGCACCACTCTAATCATGTCGGATGCTGGAACCAAGTGCATGCGGTTCCTAGTTTAGGGGAATTTGCTATATAAAAATAAATGGCCTTTTTACACATTCAGATACCCTGGTGCTCTGGTCCTGAATTTAATTTACACACACACACACACACACACACCACCATACACAGGCCAAGTACACAGTGAGCTCCATTCAGCCTGAAAATACAAACTTTCTCCAAACCCAAATATAGTCACCACGCTTGATCGGCTTACCAGCTGCTGGCCTTTAGGGCCCCATCCTGCATACTGAAGCTTTGCGTTGCTGACTTCTGGTGGGTCCAGACTTTGAGGGTCTCTGAAAATTGAACAAAGAAAGAAACAAAAACAAAGCAAAATGTTGGGAACCAAGAATTTAAGCTGCGGCGATGTTACCCCCTCCCTGTGACTTCACTCCTTCTCCTTCCAAGGCATCCCTTTCAAGAGCCTGTCTCTTGTGTTACTAAGTAGTATATCTCATTTAGTCTTTCCTAGATTTCTTCAGATGTATATACTTTATATGAAATAGGTCCATCACTGCTTAACCCAAATAGTAAATACTCATTAAGAGAAAACATGCGGTGAGGCCTCTGGATCAACTTTTTAAATCTCCAGAACAGTCAAAGTTAAAAATTAAGATGCAGAGCCAGGCAGTGATCTATCCCCACAATTTGTATCTCCATCTGTGGTCCTCCTAGAAGTCAACTTTTTCTAGGTATAAGGCATAACCTTACAAAACCAGTGGCATCAGGTTTTGTGTTGATTTGTGTTGGGAGATACCAGTAGAGAGAGAGACAGAGAAAGGAAGGAGAGGAATTGAAAGATTTTTTTCCTTCTGAACCTCACTTACATTGCTTATCCTTAATGTATTGATTAAATACCAATACTACCACAACAGAAACCTAAGTACTTAAAGGTTACAATGAATAAAGGTCATGGTGGGAAAGATGAAAAGAGCTTACACTTTTATAAGTATTAAATATTTCAGTATATGTTACAGCTATTGCTCTCTCCAACAAATAGAAAAGATTCATTTTCGTGTTTCTTTTGGATGACACCCCTCCACGTGAAGAATGATATCTGCATTCTGCTGAGACTGCTCGTCTCTGTCAGGTGAACGCACTATCACTTAGCTATGATATTTCTTATTCTGAAGACGCATCATCAATGCACCCAGTCATCTGTAGGGAGAAATGGCTGAATGGCCTTTGGAAAGGGAGGACGCTGCATTTTGGAGACTGCATGAACAAAGGAGATGAGGCAGGAAGGGAAGGAAGGTGAAAGGTCTAAGGATGTGGTGGGTTGGAGTCAGCAGAAAACACAAGAGCAACTGCTGAATAAAACTGCCAGGAAAAACAAGGAACACATTCAGAGTAAAGACAGGTGGGGAGGTGCCAGAGTCCAGAAGCCCCCAGGTAGTTTTAGATGAAGTGTCTGGATTTGGAGAAGCCCAGGAAGCCTGAGGGTAGAGCAACGATGTCAATTCAGAGAAGACATTGCTGCTTAGAAACCAGCTGCGAAGGCAGATCCTGGTGATCAGAAGACACAAGCGAGTCCTAATATCGCAGGTTCTGTTACTAGATGAGTTTTTAACATTTGTATGGCTTTTTCTGTTTGTTTGATTTTTTTTATTTTTGAGATCGAGTCTTGCTCTGTCACCCAGGCTAGAGTGCATTGGCATGATCTTGGCTCACTGCAACCTCCACCTCCCGGGTTCAAGTGATTCTCCTGCCTCAGCCTCTTGAGTAGGTGGGACTACAGGTACCTGCCACCATGCCTGGCTAATTTTTGTGTTTTTAGTAGAGACAGGGTTTCACCATGTTAGCCAGGCTGGTTTCGAACTCCAGACCTCTGGCAATCCCCTCGCCTCGGCCTCCCAAAGTGTTGGAATTATAGGCATGAGCCACTGCGCCCGGCCAACATTTATAGTTTTAATGTTTCAAAGTACTCTCATAAACATGGGTTAATTCCTCTGGAACCCTGGTGTCCAGAAAAACTTTGATGACTCAAAATTCAGAAGCCAGAAAGTAAGATTAGTAAGTTGGACTATATAAAAATATAAAACTTTTGCATGACAGATGTATCATAAACAAAAGACATCTTACAAACCAGAAGAAAAATGTTCCCAACACATGCTATGGACAAATGGCCAATATCCCTGACATACAAAAAACTTCAAAAATTGAGATTATAAAAAAACAACAAAAAAGATAAAAAATATGAGAAAAAGACATAAACAGACAATTCACAAAAAGACATAAAAATGGCCCTCAAACATATGACAAAGTACGCATATACACACGAAATTAAAGAAGTAGGAATTAAAACTAACTGAGATACCACTTCTGACCTCTGAGACTTGGAAAAAGCAGAAAAAACTATGACAATCGGTGCTGGGGAGGCTGTAGAGAAACAGGCACCTTCATGTGGGGAAGCAAACTAGTGCAGTCATTTCAGAGGACATTTGACAATACCTAATAAAATACACACTTAACTTTCAGCCCAACAATTCCACTTCTAGAACGTCTCCTAGAGGATTCACCTCCTACAATACACAAATACGTGTGCACATTTACAGTTATTGCAGCTTTATTCGTAGTTGCAAATATTGGAAACAATATGTGGTTGAGTAAATGATGGTACATCCTTCTTTCTTAAGTCTGAAGAGTACTGAACAGAGAGTAGAGTAGTAGTGGTTACCAGAGGCTGGGAGTGGGAGGGGTTGGGGGATGTTGAAAAAAGATACAGTTTCAGTTAGATGGGAGGAATAAAGTTTTGAGGTCTGTTGCAGAGTATGGTGATTATAGTTAATAACGCCTGTAATCCCAGCACTTTGTGAGGCCGAGGAGGGTGGATCACGAGGTCAAGAGATTGAGACCATCCTGACCAACATGGTGAAACCCCGTCTCTACTAAAAATACAAAAAATTAGCTGGGCATGGTGGCGCGTGCCTGTAATCCCAGCTACTCAGGAGGCTGAGGCAGGAGAATTGCCTGAACCCAGGAGGTGGAGGTTGCCGTGAGCCGAGATCGCGCCATTGCACTCCAGCCTGGGTAACAAGAGTGAAACTCTGTGTCAAAAAAAAAAAAAAAAGAATGTAATGCATGTTTCAAAATTGCTAAGAGAATAGATGTTAACTGTTATACCACAATGAAAAAAGATATATGTATATGAGGTGATGGAGATGTTAATTAGCTTGATTCAATCCTTTCACAATGTATACATATAACAGAATATCATTTTGTACCCCTCAAATATATACAATTATCATTTGTCAATTTATAAAAACCCAAAAAACTACGACCCACCCATACAATGAAGTATGGTGCAGGTGTAAAAAAGAGTGACTCAGCTCTATAAACAGATATGGAGTGATTTCCATGTCAGAGTTAACAAAGCCCAAAAGTATGTATTATAGTATGTATATATATATATATGCATGTGTATAGTATGACATAGTTATATATCATAGAAGAAAGAGCTATGAGAATATATAGAAATCAAGTCTTTTGTGAAAAAAGAAATATAGGAAACTGAAACCAGGATCCAGACTGGTTACCTATAGGGTGTGGGTGGAAAAGGGATGGAAAAATGGGGCTGCTGAGAGGAGGAAGAAGGGGAACTTCTCTGACTATACCTTTCTGTATCACCTCAACTCTTAGACCACAGTAGGATTTCACATACTCCCAAAATAAAGGAAACAATAACAAGCAACCAGGATGCTTGGGAACCCAGAACGGAATAAGAACACTAACAAAAGAACCAAACCCCCTTACAGGTGAAACACACTGAAGAGGGGTGGAGAGGGAAATAACTAACCGTAAGTAACTTTGGGAAACAGTATTTTGACTGTATCTGCTAAAGATAAAAATTAAAAAACTATAAATAAATGCTATAGTTCAGTGAGTAAATGTGCTTCTTCCAGGGGTTTGAATGATCAATTCTGAAACTGTGTGCATACTAGAATTGGACAAATATGCAAATATATTGGAGATAACAAGAGCCAGGTTTTTCTCTGTTGGAGAAAAATGTTGTAGGGAAACGGGGAACACTAGAATAAATGGTGACGTTTGAAACCAGAGGTATCGGTATAAACTCACGGTTCTTAATCTATACATACACAGATAGTTCCAAAATACAGAAGTGTGTGTGCCCATGGGTTAGCATACATACACATATGTCCTGGGTCTGTCCACTGAGAAGGCCTGGAAACAATGACACCCCAGTAGCAATGAGCACACTTAGCAGCTAACTCTTGGTGTCTAAATACCATCACCCAGTTACAGAAAATGGGGCTTCTAGGAGGGGCAATTGTATCTGGGCTGGGGCAGGGAAAATACAGAATGAGTCAGGAATATTTTATGGAATCAGAAAGTAATGAAACACTCAAAGATGGGGGTTTGTTGAGAGAACATGCAAAGGAGTTCCTAATGACTCACACTAGGACAGTTTGATGAACAACAACAAAAGAAGTAATGATAGGACTGGATTAACCCATAGAATAAAATAAATACCTGTTAAGTCTTCACTAACATAAATAATTAAATAAATCAAATAATCGACTTTACAGTGGAAACCTGGCAGTTAGTCACCTAAGCAAGTGACTGTGGCCAACATCACCAGAGCCCTTTGGATATAACACACTGGAAAGGACAAATGATCATTCATGCGATTTTTTTAATACCAAAAATGTAGAACCTTATTCCAATCATGAGAAAACACTGGAAAAACTCAAACTGGGAGCACTACAACATAACCGACCAGTCTTCTTCAAAAGTACAAGGTCATAAAAGACAAGGAGAAACTGAGGAAATGTAATAGATGGGAGGGGGCTAAGGAAAAAGAGCACCTGAAGGCAGTGTGGGGTCCAGGGACAGAGAAAGGACATTGGTATAAAAATTGGTAGAATTCAAATAAGGCCTGCAGGTAAGTTAACAATATGGTACCCATGTTAATTTCCTATTTTTGATCATCATAGTAAAGTTATAAAATATGCTATCACTAGGAGAGGTTGCGTGAGAAATACAAGAGATTTTCTTGTGCTTTCCCCCCCCAACTTTTCTATATCTACAATTATTCAAACTAAAAAGTTTTTAAAAAGAATTTCATAGCTTGTATCTCATTGGCTATAAAAATTATCCTAAATACGAATGAAAAGTCAGATAATTTCCCTCCCAATATACCGTGATCTTGATTTTAAAACCTGAAAAAGAAATGGCTTCCATATCTAGCACAGCACAGGTCCTTAGTATGTGCCTATGAACAAACAAATAAATTAGTAAATAAAGGTGGGTTCTAGTGGTGGCTCTCAGTAAAGAT